GCTCAGTCAGGACATCAGAAACTGGATCTACGAGTTTTCTATTAAAGGTAGTATGCTGCACTGTAACCCAAAGGCCACCAGGTGGCGCCAGCCACACGGAAATGGCACAGCGACTTGCTGTGTCCTAAGACCCTATCAGGCTAAACTAAACTCTCAAATGGCTTTGTTATTGTTGTTTGGGGTTTTTTTTACAACTCTAAAGGTAAAACTTCAAAATTCTGATCAACCTAAGTACAGCTCAAGTACACATCTTTATTTGTATTGAGTGTACTCCTTCCATCAATGACCGTGACCCAATTAGTACATTTTACACTGTGACCTAGTACACGTAAATGTATGCACCATGCACATGTCTAACAAGTTTCACATAATACTTACCACTACTAGGCATGATGTGTTATACAGTCTTCTTATAAATGTATATAAGATGTAGGTATGTATATATGTAATCAGGATGAAATAAACACCTGCTGTATCAATACCTTGTCATGTGTAATTTTCATTTTACTTCCATTAGGGTTTTGTTCATTTGTTTTAGCCATCCTATTCCTCTACTAAAGATGCAAAATTTCTGTGGCACAAACCAAAATATCTTACCTTTTGGTTACTTTAATCCTTTCTCTGAGATACTAATTTCTCAATGTCTCTGGATTACTGAATGGTCTTCAGAAGGGCTTTTTTTATATCTTAAATAGGACTTGATTTTTAAGATGATATGCAGTATATTCATTAAAATATTTCACTAACCAGGGGCGCCTGGGTGGCGCAGTCGGTTAAGCGTCCGACTTCAGCCAGGTCACGATCTCGCGGTCCGTGGGTTCGAGCCCCGCGTCAGGCTCTGGGCTGATGGCTCAGAGCCTGGAGCCTGTTTCCGATTCTGTGTCTCCCTCTCTCTCTGCCCCTCCCCCGTTCATGCTCTGTCTCTCTCTGTCCCAAAAATAAATAAAAAAACGTTGAAAAAAAAATTAAAAAAAAAAAATTTCACTAACCAAACAGCCGAATCAAGCGAAACAATATAGGCCTAAATCAGGGGACTATGGAATGAAGAAGGTGCCCCTCCTTTTATGGGATGGAAAACAACTTGAAGAGATGAAGCCCTTAGCCCACTCGCAGACCTAGCCAGTGGCAGAGAGCCCTAGGCAAGACCTCCCAGGTATGGACATTCACGCCAACACTACTTCACATCACTGCACACTGCCTTCCAGAAACCCGCCCTCTGGGTGAAAGGACCCCCAAATCCACCTCAGATTGATCCCCTTAGATTAAAAGTTTTATGACACGAGAGTCTCATCTAAAAGCAACATGATGAGTCAAGACCGTTAAATCCATTTTTGAACTTGCTCAATCCTTTTTTTTTTAATTTTTTTTTCAACATTTATTTATTTTTGGGACAGAGAGAGACAGAGCATGAACGGGGGAGGGGCAGAGAGAGAGGGAGACACAGAATCGGAAACAGGCTCCAGGCTCCGAGCCATCAGCCCAGAGCCTGACGCGGGGCTCGAACTCACGGACCGCAAGATCGGACCTGGCTGAAGTCGGACGCTCAACCGACTGCGCCACCCAGGCGCCCCATTGCTCAATCCTTTTTAATTCCTCTTTCTGGTTACCTATTTTACAGTAATGCATTATTTGTAGCCCAGGAAAGGGGGGGGGCGGGACCATTCACAAGTCAATTCAGAGAGTCAATCACAAATGCGGTGAAAATCTATTCTATAAGGGAACTAAAATCCGAAAACTATTTCACCATCATCTCTCATGGTTAGAGACCTAACTGTATCCTGAGATTACATATATAGTCCCTGTCCCTTTTGCAGCCTCACCTCTCTCTGCAAAATGTGGGTAACAATGCTATTGACCTCCAAAGGTGGCCGTAAGGATTAAATGAGCAAATACATCTGAATAAAGATGTATTTGCAAATAAAGAATCCCTAACTCCTCTCAAATGTTTTTGTTGTAAAGCATAAAACACTGAATTTGAGCTTGAGGCTCTGGCGAGAAACAGAAATTGGTAACAAACTTGTCTTCTCCGTATCAAAATGGAAGCAAATATAAACTACCCTTCACCATCCTCTAATGCACTTCCTTTTGCCTCCCTCTTCTCATGTGTGCAATTTATTAATAGGTATTAATAAGAAAAAAGGACCATGGCCAAGTTTCACAAAAGCTGATTAAACAAAGTTAAACAGGTGTTCTTACAGACCTACTTTTCAGTCTTTTGTAACCTAATATGCTTTAAAAACTACTAGAGGAGGGGCATCCTATGTAGTGTTTCCCAGTGTTACTTGTTAATAAATGTTTATACAAGACTATTTCATTAGCACTAGTATCTGAGGTACCTTCTTTGTCAACTTCCAGGACATCACTGATTGTTCCCGGCACGAAAATGGCTTTGAGAGGCAGGAGGATGGTGTAGTTAGGATCTAAAACTCTGGCTGGCTGCTCTTGGAGCCCTCAAGACACCACTTAAAAAATCCAACCAGCCTGTTAAGAGGTCTGGCCAACCCCCACCCGATTCCAGCCACCCCAGCTGAGGTGCCAGATGTTCCGGCGCCAGACACGCCCCCGGCTGCACACGGCTGCCTACAGCTGCCTAGGTGACTGCAGCCAAGGCCACAGGGACAAGAACTCCCCGGGTGGGCCTGGCCATCCCACAGACTCAAATATGCCTTTAGGAAGATAAAGGGTCTTTCTCTCTGCACAAGCTTATCAAAAAAGAAAACTAAAATGTTGAATTCCCTGGGGTGACGGGTGTGGGGTGGGAGGGGAGACTTCCATTCTTCAGCCATCAAGCTCTGGGCTCTAAGAGATGAGAGAAAGCAGATCATCACAGAGAACGCGGGTAGCAAAGGGAATGTGCAGAGTATTCAGGTTCCACAAGAAATGGATCCACGGCATCACAAGGGCACGCACAGCATAGTGCACAGCATATCAGTGTCAATTCTTCTAAAAAACCAGTGTTAAAGACACCACCCTCAAAGACCAACTGAAGACATGTCTAAGCAAAAAACAAAGAACTTGGTAATAAATGCCTGAAGTAAAATTAGGATGTCTCGGGAAGGACAACTCAGTACAAAACCATGTCCAACCCACATTAGGAAATTCCATGCTCAACACGTAATGGTGCTAGGACCAAACACTCACTATCTTTAAAGAGGGACAGAACACTAAATATCTAGAGCCTACTGTATGTCCTTCATATTTCGCTTCATCTCATCTTCTCCAAGTCCTGTATTAAAAATGAAACCCTAAAAAAATTGTTTTAATAAAAATCAAAACCTGTTGTTCTTATCCTATGAAAACCTTTAATGGGAGGGAACAGGTTCTGAGTTAAGATTCTGATATCCATACCTGAACTAGTAATTTAACTAAAAACACAATAAGCAATTTTTTAAAGTTCAATCTCGGCAAAATTCAAAGACAGCCCATTAACAAATATCCTTTTTCAGCTATCAAAAGGGCAAAGATGTTTAAAAAGAATAAAACTTGGCAAACTTCAGGGAAATCGATGAGTAAATGAAGGTCTCCAAGTGTTCTAGAAGGTTATGTGAAATGCATATTCAAAGCCTTCAATGTGTGCACACTATTCTGACGTAGGTATCACTTCTGCAATTTTCCTAAGGAAATCATTTAAAGGTTAAATATTTTAGCTATTTAGGATATTTACTGGAACCATGCTTAGAATAACAAGAAAAGTTCTAGAAAGAATCTCAGTGAATAAGCAAAAAATGTTTAAATGTATAACATATAATCTGTACGACAGCAGACAGTAGGTCTCTTCATTGAACTGCCCTTAACACATTCACACAACTCCCAGAGTCCCCACCGAGTCACAGGTAAATCTGCAAAATGCTGTACTGTACTGAAGGGCCCAGAGAAGCTCAGGATGGTGCAAGTACAGTGTGGGGAAACACCTTGCCAGAGAGGACTCTTTTCTTCCCAAAAGCCTGGTTTTTGTCTCTCCCGGACTCAATCGACCTCCCATCCCATCAAGAAAGGAACTTTGTCTTGGCTAGACTCATGAGAATACCTCCCTTTAGGTTCCTAGGTGACACTGTGATCCTGGACACAGAAAGCAGTCCCATGTACTAAGCGTGCCCTGGCGCCACACGCCTCTGAATGCCAGCACCACCACTTACTAGCTGTGAGACCATGAGCAGGTCACTTAACCTGTGCTTGAGTGACCTAACCTGAGAGGGTTAGAGAACCTACCTCTAGTGGTGGTGGAAGAAATACATGAGCTAATACACATCAAGTGCTCAGGACAGTGCCTTAGCACATGGCAAGTGTTTAGCAAGCATAAGCAGCCATTATTGTCACTGTTCCTGTTTTTGAATCAGATATATCCTGGCCAGCTCCGAGTAGAGTGTGAAAAGCTATCTGGTGAATAAAAGAATGAACACATGGTCCTGTGTGTCCTCATACAGATCATCTCTGAACACCTCCTCTTGGTATGGCTTTAGGCTTAAAGCTTCCCACAAATCCTTCCAAATGCCTTACCTTTTGTTCACTCCCTTCACCCCGACTTTTCATCTGCCTCCTGCCAACAACCAAAGCTGGGAAGGAGACGCAGGCAAAGCACAGAGGACTCATGTAGGGTTGATGGGATTTAGACAATACAGGGGAACTGCAGCGTCAGGCTTAAGGAATGCCCTCCAAATACCTTGGCAGGAAACTGCACATACGGAGAGCTTGTGATAAGCTTAAGAAAAGAAACGTTTCCAACTGCATATAAAGGCATTCTGCCCTCATTTCTTTACCACACAGGAGGTGACATGGTAGGTTTCTAATTTGTCTTGAGAGTGTTTATTGTTTAATAACTCCCTCTTCCTCCGCCCCACCCTGCCACTCTCTTGTTCTGCTTTGCTGATCATCCTAAAGGTTGAATACATTCTTCTTCTCAACAGAGGATGAGAATAAAGACTGAAACCAAAACACTTGATCGGGCTTTCACCGGGCACTATGCCACCGTGGAGGGCTGCTCTTAAACAAGCATGGTTTTCCTAGGGCTCCACAACGTAGTCCTTTCTCAAGTTCGCCAGTACACTCATGGAGTTGAAATGCCGCTGCCCATCTAAATACAACATGGACTCTGAAACACAAAAGAGAGAACCATGGAGAAGCCCATGGCACCTTACAAAATCATTGTACGGACAGCTAGGCTACTTGGGAACACAAGGGCAACAAGGAGCGTGCAAAAATGGCTCTAGGCAGGCCCTGTCGGGCTGGGGGTGTGCAAGGATCCTGAGGGGTGAGCCTCGACTTGTGCCCCTTTCCTGTGGCTGCACCAGTCTCTGACCACCAGTGGCCACTTACAGCTGGACTGACCCTTCAGACGGTAGCCAGGTCAGGCAGAGCAGCAATGGCAGCCTACAGGCCATGAGGCATCCTGGCCGTCAGGGCTGCAGACCCTCGAAAGCGCTATCTCCTAGAGATACGTTCTTGGAGCTAAGAGGCGTCTCTATGCTTCCTACAACAATTTAAAAGAAGAAAAATTTCTTTATACGTTCATCCATTCACTAAGGACAGACATTGCTGCTTACCTCCGTAGGTTCTGGGGAAAACCAAGGGCACTTCTTTTTCTGACATGAACGTGAAATGGAAGACATTGGTGGTCATATGCTCTTTATTCGCAAGAGAGGCCACCTCACTGTGCACTCTGACTTGAATGTAATTGTCCCGAGTAAAGCAAACCTAAGAGATTTAGACCTGATAATTAGTCAAGTGCATTAGGAAGGGGAGAAAAGCCAGTCATAAGAGAAACAGTGGCTTTAGAATTAAAAAAAAAAAAAAAACCTTCTCTTCTGGGCCCAAGTGATAAAAAAATTTATTTCATCCCTCATCGCACACCTACCTGCGAAGAAAGAAACAGCAGTGATCCAACCTCAACGGGTTTCTGAAACATGATATCATCCACTGCTACTACAAACGGTCGGGAACCACTAACAGACAAAGGCAGAATTTGGGTCAACCACAAAATTCAGATGATGTCTATTTCTCCCCTAACAATCAGCTGAAGCAAAATGTGAATGATAAGAGAATAAACCTAGGGAAGGGGCAAATAATCATACCGGTGAGAAATGGTAAGGGATGCCAATGTGACGAGATCACCACTCTATCTTTTCCTTTCTGCACTGTCATCACCTTTTCTCAGTAGGTCTTTAATGCACTAACTGACAAAGTCAGAGCAACAGCCTTTGAAAATGAAGACCAAGTGGAGGTGGTATCAGTGTGAAATTGATTGAAAAACAAAGCACATACCCCAACACATCCAGACTGGCCTAAAATGGTTCATTTCAACGGGGTACTGCAAACTGTCTCTCAGAAGTTGAATACTTTTACTGGCGCCACACTGCCAAACTCACCCAAAGTTACAAGCAGTAGCCCATCCAAGTTCATACGCTTTCCTCATAAGGAAACCGCCAAAGACCCGATTGAAAATGTTCCGCTCCTATAGGGCATAAAATAATTATTAACAAATACAAGCTCATGACCACCCTCATATACAGAACAAAGGAATTAACAATGCCACAGAACAGAGGTCAGTTTGAAGGCGGATCAAATTTTAGATGAGAATCACCAAAGCAAGTTATCCTCTTTAGAAGATTTTTCATTGGCTTACAATACCTGAGGGTGGCAAATTTCCAAGCTCTTCAGTTTTGAATCCTCCATCCACACCGCATGAGGGGGTAAAACTCGACTTCGAAAACTTATAGTCCTGTACAAAAGGAGATTCAGGAAACCCTCTTAATGCCATGATTTTACTGATGAAAGGTAAAATATATGCAAACAACTCCCAAGATGTTGAGGCCCAAGTGGCTCTGGAGAAGGCCAAGGTTTAAATGCTTTCCCAACCTGGAATCTCACCATCCTAACTTACTTTGGATCGAGCGTGCTAAGAAACATCTCATGTATGGTTGTCCTCTCCTCGGCACTGGGAGCCATTTTCAGTAATGACGTGGAGCTGAAGGCAACCCTTCTCCCCTTGTTCACTGGAACACAGGACGACAAGGAGCTACGATCAGGAGGGTCCCACTGCAGCACTGCGGTTCCTGACCTTGTCTGCCTCAGACCCTACAAAGGTAGTATCTCCTGACTTCAAAAAGCCCACCGGAAATTGTACATATATCCCAAAGAAGGCTGCTGAGGCTACATAAAGTGTCCAGTGACTCCCTGCTTTCACACGGAAATTACACTGGCTCAGTGTGAGACCACTTAAAGACCACACTTAGACCATCCAGGGCGCCTGGGTGGCTCGGCTGGTTAAACGTCCAACTTCAGCTCCGGTCATGATCTCACGGTCCTTGAGTTTGAGTCCCCCATTGGGCTCTGCGCTGTCAGTGTGGAGCCCACTTCAGATCCTCTGTCTCCCTCTCTCTCTGCCTCTCTCTCTCTAAAATAAAATAAACACTTTAAAAAGTTTTTAAAAAGACCATCCTGAACCAGAGCCCTGACCAGCAGTTATTTCACTAAGATACATTTCCCATTTTACTAAAAATGAGAAAACAAATTTTTGCACTTAACAAATACTGTCTAATCAGGAAAACTGTTAAACTATGGATTCTGGAACCAAAAATAAGGTATTTTTAATTTCAATAAATTCTCAGCATGAGTAAGACTACTTGACCGGTATGAACAGTCCATACATGCTCTTAAATAACCTCTTCTGCAGTACAGCTAGTGTGCTTTGCAGAACTGTATCTTATTATAAACAAATTAATATACATTCTCCTTGTCTAAAGAGTTCTTCTTCCTCTGGGCTTTCAAGGATGAGTGGATTTACAAATGCCGGCCTAAAGAGAAGAAAAGAAAAGAATACAGTTTAAGAGGCTTATAAATACAGTTTTCCCCAGGAAAGGTGGAAGGTGAACAATTTACCCACTGGTTTCCAAGTCTCTGCTGTTTGTTTTAGGTAATGCTTACTCACTGTTTCATATAATAACCCAGGAACAAGTAAGGAGCCCTCTAGTTACAGAGTAAGCTGTATACTAGAAAGTTCCCATTATAAAAAGAACACTGCCTCTCACCAAAAAGTTTCCCCTGATTGTCATAATGGGGAAACAGTCAAAAATACGCTGTAGAATATTCTACAGGACAACTGGCCTGGACCCTTCCAAAAATGTCAACGTCTTCAGAGATAGAAAATGGCAGGGGGACACTTTAAAAAAAAAACAACATAATAACTACATGCCATACATGATCTTCGATCAGATCCTGACCCAGGGGAAAGAGCTATAAAAGATATTTTAGGGACAAATGGCAAAGTTTGAATATGGATTGTATATTAGATAATATAACTGTCTCACTTAAATTTCTTGGATATAATAAAGGCATCGAGGCTGTGTAACAGAATAACCTTATTATTAGGAGACAGATGCTGGACTATCCAGGGGTGAAGTAGTCTCAAACTTACTTTCAAATGATTCAGGGAAAGAGTGTGTACATGTGTGTATTTATAGAGAGAGGGTAAGACAAAATATCAACTGGTGAATTGAAGGTGAGGGCTCTCTGGGTGCTCACTGCATCATTCTACTTTTCTGAAGGTGGCAAATTTCTCAAAAGAGAAAACAGATAAAGTGGGGGGGTGCTTTCACTGTGGTAGAATCCAAAGATTTGATGAAACAACAATGGAAACAATGGGAGAGAAATTTTAAATAATGCCACAGGGCCGGAAAGGAGTCCCCCACCCAGGGCCAGCCCCTAGCACCCGCAGGCCTGCCCAGCCCAGTGGGAAAGTGAAGAGTAGCATTCTACACTCACATCTGTTTGACCTTAACTCACTCTTCCAAGGCAGTTTTTCATGAGGCAGCAAAGATTTCTCAATGAGGACCCCTACCTCAAGTTTCTAATACAAATTAGATTCCCACAGGCCCCCAGACTCTGTCCTATACCAATAGCAATCCTGTACTATTTCCTCCCAGCCCAGCACCCACCCCCCACAGCTCAACAGTTTTTCCGCCCCCCCCATTCGAATGCTTTCCGGGTGACTGCTGTTAGGAACCAAGGATTCAACTTAAGGGGAAAAAAGTATGAAGCCAAATAAGTTAAAATCTGTAAAGTTCAATCTGACTTGGAATTGATGGTACATTAACTCACGAGGTCCGATATCTGTTGCTTTTTAATATACATCCTAACTCTGTCCACTGAAAAGGCTTAGAAATAATGACAAATGAGTAGAAAATATAGTTCTAGTGCCCAGATTCTGGTCTCTAAATACCAGTACTCACTAAGAGGAACCCCAAGACTCCTCAGAGAAATGGCTGATTCTGGGCCTGAGGAAGAAAATGTGTAAAGTGAGCCCAAGATATCCCACCGTACCAGAGAACAGGAAGACTGGTGGGGAAATGTGAAACAAGTTTACTCCAGGAGCCAGCTTAAAGGAGCTCCCACTGCCCAAACACAGTACGCTCTGAGCATCAAGAACAATGGCTGCAATTTACTGAAATACATTTACTATTAAAATCCATGAATTCATTGGGGCGCCTGGGGGGGGGGG